GCTTATCATAAGAAATTCGAACAACTGTTCGATTGGATTATATCATTAAGAGGAACAAAGATGTGGTTCTTTCATTCAAAGGGAAATCGTTGAGAGAGCGCCAACAAATTCCACTTCGAATAAAAATTGGGTGAATGATGAATTAAATTTCCATTATCAGTACTAACATCTTTATGAAAAAAAATGCGTTGTTACCTTTGATTTCGTACAAAGACCAACCTTTGATATTTCTTTTACTAGACGGTCGATTTGTCATTAGATTGAAGCTTAATCAGTCATTCCATTTTTATTTTTATTTTTTTGGCGGTAGCCATCGAGCATTTTTTATAGCTCTCGATTGTTTCATAATACCTAGATTTGTTCTTATAAATCATGCTTCCAATATACTGTTTGTCACAGTGATAATTCAATTTTCTTCCTTTCCAAACGTTATCACTAAACACTTTTCCTTTATGACCATATTATGAAATTTGTTGTGCAATGCGATACAAACTTTCAGGATAATCCTTGCTGCAAAATATTGAGAAAGTCTCATGATTGCGGAGAGAGGGGGGCGCCCAGGCCTGCATTGGGCCCTTTTAATTTTTTTTTATTTAAAAAATATTATGAATTTTATTTTATTTATTTTTTACGTATCAGCTCAGTATAATTTCTTGAATCTGTAGGGTAACTTTTTATATTTTTAAATTGAAGATGAAAAGTAAGCACACAGGCAAAATATTTTGTGGCTATAATTAATTAATACTACATTTGACCCATCGCCTTTCCTCTCGAGTGGAATATTTTAATATGAGATTTTGTCAGGCATGACTATATGCTAAGATATTTTATATTGTTGTTAGTTCACTTAATTTCATTTAGCGGAGATATAAATATAGACAACGGCCGAGCCAGAAAATGATTTTAGAGTAGGCTAAAATTTAAATAAACTCACGCTACTAAAGACCGAGATTAAGAGACTATGTCCATTACATTCTTGACAAATAGTATCTGACACTCAATGAAATATATGTCTAAATTCTCATGTTAAGATGTCTCGCTACAAATTCGTACTTTTTTTTGTAAAATATGAAATTGACGCGCAATTTAGAAAATGTAAACCAATAGAAACATGATAAATATAAGCAAATGATATGTATCTATCAATCAAAAACTAAAAAAATGTTCAAGAATTTTATTACCATTCATTCCAAACAACTGAAAGTTTTGGCAGAAAAGACAACAAAAGATACACTATTGTACGTCACCATTCTCGAAATAATATTTAATATGGGCATCACTCTTTTATACCTACACATTCTACAGTGAGAAAAGAATCCACCCAAAGTGGAAAAAAAGAAAAGGAATTTCGTGGGTAAAAAAAATTTGATTTCTTTAACGTCCATGTTTCATTCAAATTTTATAATATACATATAATCTTGTTATTTATAAATATGTTCCGGCGACTTCTCCACATGTGACATGTTAATAATGATTTTTGATCACAACATTTTTATAGGTCACACGCTACCAAAATAGTTGGTCACAGACTTTTCATGGTCACAGATTATATAATTTTTAAGTCACAAATAAAAAATTTTATAATTCACAAACAAATAAAAAATTTTATACTTCACAAATTATTTCGAGGTCACAGTTCAAAAAATTTATATGTGAGAATTTATTTATCGACCACAAATCAAAAACTTTGCAGGTCACGGATTATTTCAAGGTCACAAAT